CCCCCCCCTATAAAGTACATGGAAAACTTTGAGCGCTTTGAGCGACCTCTAAAAATTTTTTGATTTCAAAATTAAATAATAGGGGTATATTTTTTCGGTAAAGAACAATCCTAGGTGGTGAGAGCATAAAAATTCCGACTTTACTTTTTCACATGCATTTTTTGACCATCCTAAAATACATACATACATACATACATGTTTATGAGCCCAGAAAAGAATGATATAAATAAATAAAATCTCTTGCTGGAGCTATCAAGAGGGATTGATTTGTGAAAGTGGCAGTGCCAAAAAGTAAACTATACATGAATGAAATTAAGACATGCTTTGTATGCTAGAATGCTTTGTACGTACATAAATATGTATGTATGTACATAAGTAAGTATGCACAAGGATAGATACATGTGTACATATGTATATTAAGATGCCTCGGTTTTTCCACCGGAATTCTGAAATTTATTATTTTTAAATCTTTAGCCAAAATAAGTCGCAAAAAGAAAATACTAAGATTTACGCGAGCTGGACCGATTTGAAAAGACCTCCGAAAAGCGAGTTGTTTTTATAAATGAAGTGAGCTTTTAAAAATATTTTTTCCGAAAGACCTCAGATGATAAAAGAGTTAAAGCTTGTTGAACATTTGTTATTGTTGGGAACATTTATTTTCGCTAAAATTTAAAAATATAATAAATCAGGATCCGCAAATAATGCAATTGTTTTTAATTTCAACTCAAATAAGAAAGAGAATTACTGCATAAGTAAGTAATAAACCAACAAAATCTGTAGCACTGTATTTTTTATTATTGAAGTTTCATTTAAAAACATCAAGAATAATAATTATTTTTCGAGTTAGCTCTTGCTTGGAAAATAATCGTGTTTTTGTGTATTATTTGTTGCTTGCCAAACAACTGTTATTTCTTTAGTTTTATTTATAGCTTGAAAAGTAATCGTTATATTCAGGGTTTTATTTTACAAAGATAAAGCTTAAAGCTGAAAATTTGCAATTCTACAAGTTGTACAGTACAATATTTTTTAATTGGTGTGACAGGATGTATAATGAACACTAAATTATTAAATTCAACTTTTCTATAAAATTCTTTTTTCCCAAAAAACAGTACTTTACATAATATTAAATCAAACAAATAATATGCTTTATTATTTTATACATCCCTTCGGGCTTTTCTAACGGTTGTTAATCAGTATGATATGAAAATTATGTTAAATTAAATTTTATTTGTGTCATATGGTATTTCAACCAGAGAAGATGTCAACCGCTAAAACACCTCATTTTGTTTATTCAATAATATGAAAAGAATTTTTTTAATGTTTTTTTTTTTGGCTAGAAAGCACAAATATAGAGGACATGCATATTAAAATTTGCATACAAATTTTTCTCCATATATTCTTGCGACAATCTAATGTGCTTATATGTATCCGCTCGCAAGGATGCCACCAATTCTCAATTTTTCATGTTTTAATTTATTTTTTATTTTTGGATTTCTGTTACTTTTCACTAAATATATGTATGTATGTATGTATATGTAAATATGTATGCATACAAAATCTATTATTATTACATTTCTGGTACGCAAAAATTGCTAAGCACCACAATGTGTGAGCGTTCGTGCATTGATCTAAAAATACATAAAACAATAATTGCAATGTGCTCTAATATATACTCGTACTATATGGACATACATACATATGAATGTACATAAATACATACAAATACAAAAGTAAAAATGTAGTTCAATGAACGATATCGTGATTTCAGACACTAGATATTCATAGTAACTTATTATTAAATGTAATTGAGCTCAAAACTGTTATGGCATGTACTTGCACCAAGTTTATACACACATACATCTTTGCACACATCCATGCATAAGAAAATATGTTTGGCCTATATATCTTAAATTGAATATGAATATTGAAAAATAGATACTAGTACATATGTACATATGCACGTATGTATATACGCCCTTTTGGTTTCCAAATTCGAATAGCAAAAATAAAAGTTCGTATCATCTTAAGTGGCATAAAAAAGTGTAATGTGAATTAAAAATGCATAATGTATTTTCTCATTTCGAAACTTTTATCAGAATATATTTGGACGCATTTGCTAAGGAAAAACTCACACCAATACATAGGGATGCAGATCATGCAACCCCTCACACTCCCCTACTCCCACTTAACCAAGACGAGGCGCGAAAAGAAATAAGACTTAGGAGCATATGAAGTATCGGCCAGCTGCGGATAAAACCGTCCACATATACTGGGTCCCAAGACACAAGGAAATGACAGAGGTGGTAAGAGAGAGAGAGAGATCTCTTAGACGGCTCAGGGAATTATGGTATTAAAACCGCAATCAAAAATTGTATTAGGCCACCGAAGAAATGAGAAGGTGGCCTTAATTCACGCAGTCTTTATTCCATCCCCTTTCTTAGTCGCCGCTACTACTGATGGATATGCCAATTCCCTTTCAGTCCAATTAAAAGATTATGATATCTGCTCATGTACGGGTAGGCGGATAGTTTTTAGAATAAAACTCAGGGTTGTAGACTTGCAAAGGTTATGTGCCGTACATACGATAAGAAACTTTCCCATTTCAACGCATAGTTCGCTGGCAGCATATGCTCTTTAATTAGATCTTATAGAAGGCAAATTGTGAAAGGCTTCAAAAAAGGAAATATTTGTTCTTAAAAAACTCTCCAATAATTTTAACAATTGTGAAAACGGCAGATTTCAGAAATCTACCCTTCAGGTAGGCATACTACTACATAGAGACTCATTCACTACTGAAAAACTCAGTTTCTTTTTCATAAACACATAAGTACACATATTTTTCAATCAGCTTCTTCAATAGGAAGGAAGAGAGACCGAACTCCTGCAACGATACAGTTATAAGAGATTTTTCCCCGCTTTAAGAATAAACGTTACCGTCACAGCCTTCCAATCCTTAAGGGTGTACAAACATATCTACTGTATACGATGGCGGCTGGGTGTTGGTTGTTTGGTTGTAGTGCTACCCAAGTTGACACTCAGGTATCAATGAGCGCATAAAAGCGCTAGTTTTGTGCACTTGTCGTGGTCAATCATATTTTATTCTACCTGCAGTTTAGTCAAACCATCTAGAATCGCTTATATTTGTATATCTTAAATAAGCAAGAGCTGGGCATTCACACAGGAAATGAAATACTGTTGTTTCACTGCCCTTTAAGCTGCAGCTGGGGCATATTCTGTTATATAGAAGACCTATTCCACTTCCCCCTTTGACCGACTTTCTATCTTTCAAGTCTGAATATCTGACCACCTTCTCTTTGCCAGTTCCGGAAGGTTCAAGTGGGTTTCTATTTATAATCGTCTGAGGGAATAACCCAGCATCACCGCCACAGATTCCTCCCCCTTGACCAGTTCGTCTGCTCTTTCGTTGCCTTCTGTGTTCCTATGGCCGGAAACCCAGACAAAAGAGATGCACATTGACTGAGACGCTGACCGCAGCTCCATTTTGCATTATTTGACTAGCTTGGACTTACGGTATATGATATAGCCGGGAATGCTGCCTGGCCATCTGAGTAAATAACCGCCTGGTACCACTATTTTTTAATATCCCACAGGCTTCACATATGCCCAGAACTTCAGCCTGAAATATTTTAGCATGGTTTGCCAGCCGAAAGGACCGTTTAACACCAAGCTCCTCGGGATACACCCCTGCCCCTAAACCGCAGACCATCTTGGACTTGTCAGTGTAGATACAGATGACGTCCTTATCGGCAGTTTAGCCCCTTCTCCATTCCCTTCTGAATAGAAACCGCACCTGTACACTCAATCCAAAATCAAGGCTTGATATCATATAGCCCGTGGCTTTATTTGCTACCGTGGTAAGGTCTAATATTGAGCTATGCCCAAAGGTCCCCGATCCACACAGTCCAGACTCTCTGAGTCGTACTGTTGAGAACATCGCGGTTTCCTTTAGGCATATATCAATGGGCATCATATTGAGGACTACATTCAGTGCTTCTTAGGGTTAGGATTTCAGTGCCCCAGTTATCCCCGCGCGTGCCGCTCTTTGTAAGCTATGTATTTTGTTTACTGACATTGTATTGTTTTCTTATGTGATGTAGGCCCCCTCTTTATATACGTTTCTCAACGTTAAGTTTCCAGTTTAATTTAGTGTCTAGAATTACTCCCAGATATTTCGCATTGGACGATAAGGGGATTGTCTTGCCGCCTATTCATGGAAGTCTAAATTGGGGTATCTTATTTCTGTTAGTAAACAGTTAAGAATGATAGAATACAAGATTGCGCCCATAAGAGAGAATTTTTGAGAATAATTTTTGTGTGACTTCACACTAGTGCAGTTCCGAGAGAGAAATGCCAAACGCGGGAAGAAGAAACTTAAGTAAATTGCACAAGTGTGACGTCATAAAAACAGCGATTTTTTCAAATTCACTGAGAGTGGGATAGCGGTACGAGATGGTCGGCACCTTTGTTCCCTACATCGTGGTAAACAGTAACCACCCAATTTTGCTTGCGTTTACTTTAAGGCCACTGCGTTTGGCCCAGCTGTGTAGTCTATCCAGTGCCGTCTCTATAGTTTCACTTACAGTAGAAAATAATGGTCCTATGACTGTTATCACTACATCGCGATGCATCGTCAGAATACGCCTCTACTCTAACTCCTCCTCTATTGAGTTCTAGCAGTATGCTGTTTAATGCTACCACCCACAACAGTCGGGAGAGTACACCGCCCTGAGGAATACCTCTGCTCACATATCTAGTTGCTAGACTACATATGTCCATGGTGCTTTCCACCATGGAGCATACCCAAGCAACCACACCGCCATCCATACCAACACACATGAGTGATTGGATGATTGTATTGCTTGAAGTGCAGTGATTTTTCTATGAATCCCACTATTTCATGTAAAGCTGACTCCGTCGATTTTCCTTTGATGTAAGCGTTTGCGCTGTTGACAGGGACTATTCCCCCAACAACGATCTTATGTATATATCTATAAGCCTTTCCAGTGCTTTAAAAACAAAGGAAGTCAGGCTTAGAGGTCTAAAGCCTTACGCCGTTTCGTGGTTCTTTTTATCAGGCATTGGGAGGAACACTACTTTGCCTCGTCTCCAGCTCCAGCGGTTGAATGTATACAAGAAAAAATAATAGAAGTATGCACGGGATGTATTTTTTTTATTTATTTAATTAAAATGGAATTTATATCACAATTTTTTCTTAAAATTTGATCATAACACGCAATCACTAAAATAACGGGCCTTCAGTTTAGACTTTTTAAAGCTATTCAAAAGGCTCGACTGTACCGGGGAGATCAACTTTAATTGCCACGCGTCAAAATCAGGGACCGCAAATAACTGTTAGGGGTGCAAATATGTTTCAAATAAATCAACGTGAAAGATTACTCAGGAATATATGAAGTAGTATATGAAAATGATAGTTTTTTAGAGATCTATTCATATGTGCAACAAACCCAAATTTTATAATTTTTATGTTTTCATCCAATTTTTAAGAATTATTTCCTGAGTTCTATGTTTTCTCGAAAAATAATACTTGTTGAGTTTTATGTTTCCTTCAATGACTTATGAAATGATTATTATTTTTCATTTAGAAATAAAACTTACGCCATGAGTTTTATTTTTCTGTTGTAAAATAAAACTCACCTTGTAAGTTTTATTTATCGTTCAAAAGCAATTGTTATTTTGTAAGTTTTACTAAACAATCACTGACCTTAGTTTTCAGGCCTAAGGCGGTGGCGCAAAATGTCATTTTGAACCTATTTTAAGTAAAACCCATTCGTTTTGATTGTGTTTTTTTTTTCGGTAGTCATTTCCTATGAGGAAACACTTGTTATACCTTTGGCCTGAAAACTAAAGTTAGTGAGTTTTAAGTAAAGCTTACAAACACAGAACTCATGAAATAATTCTTAAATTTGCTGAAAAGGATACTAATCGAAACATAAGGGTTAATTGATGATTTTTTCGATATCGCTTATATGTAAGTGTTACGGTCCCTGGTCAAAATACCACTTAGCAACTTTTTCGATTCTTGGAAATTTCAACAGCTTTCGAAAATGATATTTTTTGATATTTTTTAGGTTTAAAGCATCAAAAACGAACGATATTTTTTTCCCCAATATTATTTTTGTAAAGAACACGCTTTGCGTTGGCGGGGCATTTAACTACAACACCAGTATAACCGAGAGCAAAAAAACAACATTTCACAAATTCAATATTTCCTCACGAAAAATCGACAAGTAAATACATACATGAAGGTGCATCACTCTCTATACAAGAAAAAAAATTGGGACCGTTTTTCCGTCGGAATTTTAAAATTTATTATATCTTAAGACTTTCGGCGAAATATTTCGGAAAAATATTCAGATTTACGTGAGCTGGACGCATTTGAAAATATCTCAAAAAATCGATGTTTTTTATAAATAAATTTAGTTTTTTAAAATATGTTTTTTATTACCTTAGATCATAAAAGAGCTTAGTTAAGCTTTAAAGGTTTGCAAATTAACGGGTCCAAAAAAATGAGATTTTTGGTGTTTTCAAAAGGGTCCAACTCATGTAAATCTTAATAATTCTTCGAAATATTTTGGCGGTAGTTTTAAAATACAAGAAATTTTATGATTCCGGGGGAAAACTGCTACTTCTTTGGTGATGCACCCTAATGTACATATCTAAATGCATATTAGCAATTAACAACAAGCATAACTTACCCTGTATTCTTTTTAGCACTCGTTGGATCAAACGCACTATTACAATTACCGTACTGCTGGCCCAACTGACCATTCACTTGTCGCAGCTCCTGATCCAAAGTTTTTAACAATGAAGATGTTGAACCCGCACGCACACAGCTATACTTCCCCTCTGTCAATCTTTGATTTTTGATACCTTTAAATTTTTCCACGCCACTCTTCAAGGCTTTATTCATTCGCTTATTCTGCGCATCATGTGCTGCTGCTGCTGCTGGTTTTTGTATTGCCAATTTTTGGCGTATACTCTCCAGCGAGCGATCCACTGACAGACCACGTGTCAAGTAGCCGCTGCCAGGTCTACGCGCGGTCAATAAATGGCCACTGCTGCCAGCGGTATGCTGTGTCCTGTTGGCCTCGGTGAACGAATGCTGCTTCTGCAGTCGCAAATTTGTCGCTGGTCGTTGCTGAGTGTGATGCATGGTGGCAGTTGAGGCGCCCTGCAGCGAACGCTGCTGTTGTCTCGTCCACGCTGTCGTTGGCATTTGTTGTCCCTACTGGCGCACGATAAGTGACAAAGCCGTTAATGCATCGCAGCAGAAAACGCACTAATCGACTAAATTGACGACTGACTGCCAAAGCGCGCTTGTTTTGATTCGAACGAGTTGTATGGTTTTAGGCGCAACAGCAGCTACTTATAATCAATGCGATTTAAATGCTTATTTTATGAATTCACTTAATTGAAATAGCAGCATTGTTGATGTAGCTTTGAGTATTCATATTAATTTACATAAAACGGCAAGTAACTGTCGCCAAAATTACACGCGCAACCAAATCGCAATAGGTACTTCTTCGAGCGCGCGCCTCTTATGTTTAAAAACCATTTCTTTTCTCCCGACGATTAATGCAAATGCCTCACCATAAAATGTGGAATTTATTGATCAGCTAAGGTAATTGAAACACACACACACCCCCGCACACACACACATACAGAATAGTTATTTGGTAATCACTTTTGGGAGCTTCTTTTTTTTTGTTGTTTGTTTGTCTGTTATTTTTTGTCTAAGCCAATTTTTGCAATAAGCAGTCAATACAAATGCCAATTATTTCCACTGATACCGATATCCCGGCTATTATGCCAGCTGGTTCGGTAGAGTCGGTTGCCGCGCGTTGACTGTTTCAAGAGCGCGTCCGCGCTGCTGCTATTGGGGCACAAGTTGGAGTAAAGAGTACTCGAAATATGCAGTGGCACATATTTACATATGTACATACGAGTATTTCGTTGCCAACGATATCGTTTATACTTACGTGCCGCCATCACCCATCCGCGCGCGGTTGGCAAAAAACACTTGCACTCCCTCACAGTGGACGGTGGCGGTTCAATGGTTCATTGGCTGATTTCGTGTTGCAGTCAAATTTTTCCATGACTTTTACACTTTTTCTTTTTTGTTTGCGTGTTGTTGTTTTTTTGATACTCTTTCTTGTTCCATTTCCGGCTCAGACACCTTCAATACCTTTTTCCATTCGGTTTGCTTAACTCAGCAGGTTTTTTTTTTTTGTATGCATGTAAGTAACTTGTTTGTAAATTTACTGCTCAAACGAGCTACCAATAAGTCATGCAATGCTTTCGTTACTCCCGCGCAAAAGCAAATTGCATAGATACGTACATTAGATCGGGTCAGTACCATACAGAAGGAAAAGGTTTGTGATCTTCATTAACAAACGGACCGTTAATTCTGCCTTTTCTAAACTCGATGAAGAGGTGAACAGGAATAAAACGAGAAATCTGTGGCCACAAGCAACAACCGCCTAAGTCGAAAAACCTGAATTTGAGAAAAAACGTTTTAAAGATCTAAAGTCGCCTTAGGCGGCTATTGCTTATGACCACATTCGGCGCGCTCCTGTCTTAGCGCCCGCGTCAATGTTGGTAATCATAATTACGAAGAGGTTGTCTATCTTGGAACCAGCATTAAAACAGTTAATAACGTCAGTCCTCAAAATGAACGAATGCTATTTTGAACTAAGTAATCAATTGAAAAGCAAATTCTCCTCTCGTCGTACAAAAACTACACTCGAATAGTCCAAAAACTTCTCAGAAGTAAGGCTATTCGAGAGAACAGAAAGAACCCTTCCGTAGCATAGTTCTCAAAATACAAATACAGCGGCTTCGCAGGCTAGGTAATGCCATTCGAATAGATTCAGATGCCCAGGCCATGAAAGTATTTAGATTCGGTACTAGCTGGTGATAGCAGAAGAAGTTGGGGGCCTTCTGTGCGTTGGAGAGACCAAGTGGAGAAATATTCGGCTACACTTGATGTTTCTAATTGGCGTCACACTGCCACTTAAGGAGCTGGAGATATAAATTAATTGAAAATTTTTTTTCACGACCCAGCTTAATTTATAAATACATGCATATGTATGTGTAGGTTTACAAAGAAAACAATCGCATACAAACACATACAAAATCCTTAAATTACTTTGGCTGCATGCAACTCTTTGCTCCACTGCCAGCACCATTGATTCAATTCACATTGAAGCTATGAATGACGGGCACACTTTTGTTTTCACTTCACTATAAAACTCGCTCACTCGGTTCGTTTTATGCCATAAATATGTACATCTTTATACATACACGAGCATGTATGTACATTTGGAGTATTCACAACTTGATAAGCATAAATAAATTTTTAGAGGACTTTAAACCACAGCCAGCTATATTTTAACGCAAAAAATAGCCCTCATCAGTCCAACTCCGGTTTTGCTGACTACAGAAATTTTGCAAGGAACACGTTGACATCCACAACCGTAATATTTAGGACCGAATATGAGTTTTATGGTGCCTTGCGAATCCCCCTTAATATATTTTTAGCATTTGAAAGTTTACGACATACAACAATTCGACACTTACAACACCGTTATGAATACCCCAATTGTTTATATGAAACTTAGAGTCAATGAGCTCTTTATATATATGTGCCGCTTACCGCGCTCCGCATCTTGCCCTTATACTAATGTATGCAAACAACTGCCTCGTGAATTTGTGAGAACTTGTTTTTGTTGTACGTTCTCTTCTAATGCCAGGGAAAGTCCTATGAGTGTTATTTGTGAGCAATATGTTTTTTTTGTTTGGTATTCGCAACTCTCCTGAAGTATTTACTTTGAATATTGAAGAGCTAATACATATACATTAGAGTGGTTCAAAACCCATGACAGTGCATAAATCGTTCGGTATCAATTGTAGCAGTCTCTTTTCGAAAGCATACTTTCGACCCATTCTAACTTTCCAAGACAGGTATGTGTTTAAAGCAGTGTTTGCATTTAGTATGTTCCTTTGAACTTCAGACTAAAACCTGTGGAACTGTCAAACTACAATTTTACTCTCTCAAGTGAGAGAAAACGGAAAACAGATGCAGAAGTGCACGGGAACGCAAAAAGCACTATTTCCTGTAAAAAAGTCAGTCGGTTTGTTTACATGTCATTGGTACAACACTGATTTGGCTGAAATATCACTAAATAATTATTAAAATCTATACATATTCAAATATTTCGTTACTTCCATTTTCTAACAAATATAAGGTTCTTTGCTTTCACCGCTTTCTGTTTTTGTTAGCACATGTAAATCAGCTGATCGTTTGACCCTTTTCATGAACTTACAGGAAAAACACTCCGGACTAAATCCTGTACCTGCTGACTAGGAAAAAAAGTTGAATGGTTAAATGTTGGCTGGCGACCAACTTTGTTGAAAGCGATTAGTAGAAAGGCCGTTCAATTAAAAGTTAAATACAAATTTGAACAATACAAACGCCTTTTTATGGCGAATATTTTTATATTTTTTTATGTTTAAGTTAAGTTGAAGGCAAATATTGAACGCAAAGTCGAACAATGCAAACACTACTTAAGGGAATATTCCCCAATAATACCTGAGGAATTACATATAAAACAACATTTTTAGCTGCACTTTAACATGCCACGAAAATAAAAAAAATTGAGAACATCAGCGTTTTTATAAAAACCCGACTAGCGCGATCTCCAAAACAAAACTTTTTTTTTTCAAAATAAAAAACTACCCGTCTCTTTTTTATCACAAATAACAATATTTTGATGCGGCGTTCATGAATTTCCAAAAAGAGTGTTTTTTCGAACCACTCTAATATATGTACATACATACATATATACATACTGTAATAAATAAGACAAGTGGGCAAAGAAAATTGGTAACCGATACTAATTGAATTCTTGTCGAACCTACTTGAGAGGAAATGATGCCAGCATGGCGAATGAGTAACAAAAGTGAAGGAAGTTTTTTTTTTTTTTAGCTGAGCAAGCACTTTTGAAAATATTCTATCGCACGTTTAATAACACTGTAGCGAAGCTAAAATGACACACAAAAACGGCGAGACACTTAAACTTAATTTTGAGTTGTAGATTACGGATAAGTAAACTGTTTTTCTAGATCAGGTAACTTGCCCAAGGTATTTTCATTTTAAGTTCGCATTGGGAATGAAAATAATTCAAAGTGGCCATGTACGACATGGCGTATGAGTAACATTATTTGCTGCTCCTATTTCACATTAAAAATTATCCACTTGTTCATTTGTCTGTTCACAATTTGTTTATTTATCCATCGATATTCATCGTTACTAGCTTGATTTTTTTGCAAAAGAACAGGTCGGCAACTCTCAAGAAAAACGAACAATTCATATGAATAAAATGATGCACAAGAAATGGATAAGCATTTTTCTTCTATTAATATTAATAAACTTTTGGGAATTACCGCATTACTGCTACTAGCACTGCCGCGCTAATGGACAAATGTAGAAATATGCAACAATATCATTTCAAAAATAAAATCAGTTTTGTTGTACCGGCCACCAATTACGAAAAATCCGGGTTTCTGGGACCGGTTATTAATTCTGAGAAAAGAGGAGTAATCACGTCCATTTTACCATTTATTATGGTTATTTCAAAAATGCAATCGCTTTTTTGTACTGGTGACTAACCTTGAAAAATCTGAAATTTTAGTACGGTACCCATTTTTTCATAAAAATTGTTTAACGCGACGATTCTTTTTGGTATTCGCGATATTTACTGCTCAGTACTCGTGAAAAGTGTTGTTATTCTGTACTCGGTACTTGCATCGTTTTTAAGGCCGGTCCATATTGAACTTTCGTGTTGGCTTTGTCGTTGGCGTTGGTTTGTCAGAACGCACGTTAAAAGTATACTTGCTACAATGAGTGCTTGTCAGCGAATGCTTTGACCACTAAATTAACATCCTAGCGACAAATAAATTAATATTTCATATCAATAATTGCATGAAAAACGATATTCCTTTCCCACATTTGATTAGAAATTATAAATATTTCACATAATTTTATTTATTTGCAACAGCTGATTGACAACGCGCGCAAAAATATGGGATATGCCAATCTTTTTGTGTGCGTTAACTTTGGCGTTAGCGTTGCCGTTTACATGTGGATATGTCCATATAATTGTGTGTATTCATAGTCGGCTGCTAATCAACGCCAACGCCAACGCAAAAGTTCTA